TCCTGCGTTCAAGTTTCTTCTTTCCAGAAGATAGTCCTTAGTAGTTTTTTTCAGTGAGTGTGTATAAATGAAATATCTCAATTTTTATTTTCTGAAAGCATCCTTTTTGGTTTTGCTCTTGTATGATAGTTGATCATGGTATAAAATTTAGGTTGGCAGTTATTTTCCCTAACCACTTTGTAGGTGTTAGTCCATTGTCTTCTGACCTCTGGCTTTATTTATTTATTTATTTATTTAATCGTGAAAGAATCTATTGTCAATCTAATAGTTTTCCTTTGATGCCAATCTGGCTTTTTTTTTTTCCTCTCTAGTTGCCTTTAGGATTTCCCCTTTGTTTTTGGCTCCTATAGTTTTATCATAATATTTTTACATGTGGCTTTTCCTTTACTTATTTACTCAGGACTTATGCCTCTTAAATTTCAGGATTTATGTCTTTGATCAATTTTTAAAAATTGTTAGCCATGCTTTTAAAAAATATTTTCCTCCTAATTTCCTAATACTGTCTTTCTAGATGAGAACATCTGACTGGGTAGATGTATGGTAAGTTTTCCTAGTCTATGTTTTGACATGTTTCCGTCCATTGTTTTCTCTCTGTCCTTTATTCTAGGTACTTTTATTATCTATCTTTGATTTAACTAATTCTTTTAAGCTGCATCTAGTCCTGCTAGACTAGTCCATTTTTTTAATTTTAGTGACCGTATATTTCATTTCTAGAAATTCTGTTGGTTTCTTTTTCAAATGTTACGTTTTTTTCATAGCATGTTGATTTTTCTTAGGGTTTGGTGGTTTTTATTTATCATGCTTTCTTCATGCTGCTTCTTCCATTTTCTACCCTCTATTACTTTTACACATTATAAAAATACTCATGTTATAGTCTCTTTTGGATTATCTTTACATAAATTCAAGTTCTTGGGCTTTAATCCCGCTGTTTGTGTTCTCACTAACAGTGGATTTTTCCTCGTGGATTTGGCAATGCGTGATTTTGAGTTTACACTTGAGCAGGGCTCGTGGTCTGAATTGTGGGATGGTTCCTCCTGTTTTTGAGTTTGCTTCGGCCAGGAACCTTGAGTGCTCTCATAGGCTAGGTCCAATTTTTATGTCAATTTATCAGTTCAGTGGATAATGTCAATTTGAATCCCAAACTTTCATGAGGTACGACCTGTGGTTTTGAATTCTCAAAGAAGGTATCACCCCCTCCACTGCCATCACCCAGAGCCCAGATTTCTGCTATGTGTGGCAGCCCGGAGCTATGCTGCGCACATCTTCTCATCCAAGAACTTACCATTCAGCTACAAGGAGCACCATTAACTGACAGCTCCAGCCGTGAACACCTTGTGGAAATGCCTTGGTTTTCATGCTCTTTTTGGGCAGCCCCAGCCAAAGACAGTACGTGGGGTCCTAGAACCTGGCCATTTCTGCCCAACACAGGACTCCTCTAATGGGCAATATTTGTTCTAGAGGCACTTGTCAGCTTGGCTTGGAACTTTGTCAGAACTGCCTCCTGCTTGGTTCTGTTTCTGTGTCCTGCTTTTGTGCGTCTTTAGTTTCATGGGTATTGGACCTCCATGTGGCCTGAGACTTCCTGCAAAATCCTGCTTCCTCCCCTTTTATTTTCCACTGGCATTATCCCCCAGTAACGGACTTCAAACTTGGTTTCAGCGTCTGCTTCCCAGAGGATCCAACTCATGCATCATCTTTTGGTGCTGGGATGCATTTTTTTCTGAACCACCTATTTCCTGAAGATGAGGCCTGCAAGGGGCTCCATGTGGCGGTGTCAGTTTTCCCCTCCGTGGGCCCAGTGCCTGCATGTCCTTCTCCTCGCCCCACCGTGGGGAGGCACAGCAGTGACTTACATGTTTACGGTTTGAGTGTACAGTTTTACCCTCATTTTGGGCACATTAAGGTTTCCTTTGATTTCATTCTATCTTAGCTCAATATTTAAAACTGTGTTTATTAGATCCTATCTGGAATTTCCAGATATTTATATCCATAGTGTGTTCAGGTCATATACTCTGCAATTTTTGCATTTATTGCTTTTTGATGAAAATTTTTATAAAACAAAAATTATTTAAGTGTATATATTTCATGCCTAAACTGTGCTTTTAATTATTTCTAAATGATCAGGTATAAATTGTACAACAGTCTGCGTTAAAAGAAACTTGACAAATTATACCAAAATCAGGAACTTCACTTTCTAGCTGTCAAGAATAAAGGCCTCCTTATGATTTCTAAGTCTATTGCCTCGTCTTTAAACAGACAACTTTTACACACATGTGCAAGATAAGGGAGATAGATGTCTAACACTAATAAGACAGATGAGTCTGGGCAGGGTGCAAGGGAAAAACAGGAAAGGCATCAGTTCCACCTACAGAGATCGGGGAGGCTGGGTGATGCTTTGAGCCTGGACCTGAGGGGAAGGCAGGTGACCCAGGGGCGAGGGCAGGGAGGACATGGTATGCAGTGGGAACAGCACGTGTAAACACATGGAACAGCATGGTGCCCAGGGAGCGGCTGGCAGTAGTCTGCTCATCTAGGGGGCAAGATGCAAGAGGAGGAGCAGGAGATGAGAGGGAGGAAGGAGCCGCCTCATGAGGGGCTGGAAGTGCTCTGCTAAACTTTGGATTTTAACCAGCAGATGTTGGGGGATCACTGGAGAACTTTAAACCGGGGAGCAACAGTGACTGGATTTCCCAGTTAGAAAGGTCATACTGGGTCAGCATGAGGGACAGATTGGGGCACGATGGGGGTAGGAGTCACAGACCTGAGCCCCAGAAGGCCTCCAGCAAATCTTCGACAGTGTGGAAAGATGACTGACAAATGATGGAGAAATGGAAGAAAGTTACAAGGGGCCGGGACATCTCCAGAGATCCTGACGCTGTTGAAATGGTGAAGGTGCCGCTTGACCCATCTTGTCTCCCATCTGTGAATGTGACAACGATGTAGTGTTGCTACTCAACAACGGAAAGAGTCAGAAGGCATGGGGCCATCATCAAAAGCATTGGGAACAAGAGAACAAAATTGTCAAAAGATGAAGGTAAAAAAGATGTCAAGAGGCAGCAGCCAGCGGATGAGCATCTTCTGAAGGGTAACGGAGGGAGGTTGGGATGGAGGGATGGCTGGGAACGATGAGCCTCAAATGTTCTCATTTTGTCACTATCTTGGTGTCAGAACATATGTGAGTGTCCCAGGCAGCACTTGGCCTGGCCTCAGAGAAGTGATAAGGGTCGCCCTGAGATTTGGGTAGTAGGCTGAATAACGGTGCCCCAAAGATGTCCACATCCGAGTCCCCAGAACCCGTGACTATGTTACTTTACATACCAAAAGGGACTTCCCAGATGTGGTTAGGTTAGGATCTTGAAAGGGAGAGATTATCCTGACTTACCTGGGTGGGCCCAGTGTAATCCCACGGCTCTTTATGAAAGGACGGCAAGAAGGTCAAAGTCGAAAAAGGGGTGGAAGCAGAGGTTGGAGGGATTCCTTTTGGAGGAAGGGGCCACAAGCCAAAGAATGCAGGTGGCCTTATAAGTTGGAAAAGGCGAGGAGGAAATGGATTTTCCCTGGAAGCTCTAGAAGGAATGCAGCCCTGCTGACACCTTGATTTTAGCTCCAGAATGCTCATTTTAGACTTCTGATCTCCAAAACTCTAAGATAAATTTGTGTAGGTTTCAGCCACTAAATTTGCGGTAATTTGTTGCATTGGCAACTAGAGATGACATGGGAAGGGACCCCCGTACTTTGCCTCTGCAGGATGCTGCAGGGCAGGGGTGGAGCAGGGTTCCTGCGAAGTCTATGGGGTAGCAGCAGCCCCTCACTCTATGGTTCTTATCTGGTTTCCCTAATGACTGGGAATCTCCTCTGAACTTCTGAAGCAGAATGTTAACTCCCCTGCCCACACCCGCTCCTCCCCACGGTGAGTGGCACCAAAGCATCCTCCATTTAGGGGACCATGGTTGGGGGTTCTGGCCATGACATTCAAGATTCCTGTGTGCAGAGTGTGTGGGTGAGAGAGAGGTGAGGGTGCAAGAGAGCACAGAAAGGGGTGGAGTAAAGAGAGGTGTCCTGAGCTGGCAAACGCCAGAGGCCGCCCTGCTTGGCTTCCAAGCTGGAGACACGTCCCCCGGGGACGGTGGATAAGAAGTGCAGCAGAGAGGTCAGGGCGGGGGAGGAGTGTGCTGTCACCCCTCGCGGGGGGAGATCCACACCCGGCCCTTCTCCATGTCCCACTCCCACGCCCTCCATGGCAAAAATTAAGGTGGATTATACATTTTCATTTTCCTAAAAAGATTATAACCAAAATGAGAAGGACTGAAAACATGAGATAAAATGTTAATATTTTTTAACTCTGCCTGGTGGGAATGTGGGTGTTAGTCTGGCTCAACCACCATCAGACGGATTTTGCTCCTGAGACCTGGGTCACAGGTCACCCATCCTTTCCTCACCTACTGCCCAGCCAAGAAAAGATGCAAGGAGAGAACATCCGACATCCATTTTTCTGATATTCTGCGATTCTTCTCCCAGACCTTCCTATCTTCGTATATATCATCTTGAATTATATAAAACCATGATATAAACCATGTTTATATTCCGTTGCAAAGTGATCTGATGTGTTTTGATTCTCCCTACAAGACAGTTTATCTCCACAAAGTCAAACTTCTCTGGAATCTTCCATTCCTACTTCTCCAGGATGGTCACCGCTCCGTGTCCAAGGCGGCCGAGTGCAGGAGGGAGTGAGGGAGCTGCCCAGACTGTCCTGTGGAGGATGTGTCCACAGGCATCAGCCACAAAGACGCAGGTCTAAGAATGGGACCCACCAAACCGCTTGGTGCTGGTTAGGTTTTATTTTAACAGGATGTTTTCTGTTTATTTGTTTTTCAAAATATCAGTTATATCAATATTAGAAGTGTAAACAGGTACAAAATATACAGTACATAGAAACAATTTTCTTAACTAGTCTATTGCCTAATAGAAGTATGCATGAGGGAGCTGAACGAACAGCAGCCGTGGCCTCCCCGTCTGCCGGGGAGACAAGTTGCCCATTTTGGGCAAGAGGACCAGTGGCTGCTTCAACAAAACGGGAATGGATATTTGGGTGGTCGGGACAGCACTGTGGCAGAATCAAGACATCTGGGCCCACCTTTAAGATATTAGACGCACGGATGAACAGGCCGCTGTCTGGCACCGAGCCTCTGGGGCTGTGCTTTCTGGAATGCCCAACGGACGACCAAGCACGCACACCCAGAAGGCTGGTCCACAGAAGCAGCTGCTACAAGCCAAGTTCTTTTGAGGCCTGATGATTTGACTTAGGTCGCTGTGGGCCAAATCTTTTAAGAGGACAAAAATGGAAACCTTTTCTCCCCAAACTGATGTTCCAGGAGAATGAGCTGTGTCTCACCTGGGCTCTTCCCAACTCCTGACACGCCACTGCGTACCCGCAGTGAGAAGCCGTGTCCCCTTGGAGCAGTTTATTTCCTCATCTCTCAGAAGAAATCCCTGTCCTGCTGCTTCCCAAAGTCTGAGTAATGATCACACGAGATGCGATGTGGAAGTGTTTTGAAAATAAGAAAACGCTACGCAGAGGGAACAGGAAACAGAGGCGTCTTGTGGGAGCAGGAAGCAGCCCCAGGTGGGGTGGGCAGGCCGGGCTTCGCTCTGGCTCTGCGGGTTACTAGATGTTTGAGGGTTCAACTCCCTGAGCCTCGGTTTCTTCACCTCTCCAGACCGAACACTACGGTTTCTGACAACCCTCCCTCACGAGGCCCAGGAGTCACACAGCAGGGGACACTACCAAGTTCCCTTTGGAGAGGGACTGCAGGTGGCCCGAAATAGGGAAAAGTTGGGGCCAGCACTTCTGGGGGAGCCTTTTCAGATGGAGGCAAGCTGGGGAGTGTAACTGCTGCTCCCAGACGGTCTTTCCTGCTGCACTGAGGTGGGTTCCCGGGCACTGGGTGGCCTCACTGCCCAGGGCTTGGCGCTCCAGGCCCAGATCGGCCCGCTTGGACATCGCAGGGTCCCAGCGCACCTCCCACCGGACTGAGTGGTTGGCAGGACCCCATCCCCAGGGGTCAGTGGGGCGGGGGCACCCCAGCTGGCCAACCTTCCAACACATTCACGATCAGACTCGGTCAGACACGGCAACAGAAACGCACGCCCTGAAAACCAAAAGTGCGCTACAAAATTTAAACTGGCACTACTACTACTTTCCAGCTTTTTCCTCAAGAATTGAAAAAAAAGAACAAAAACAGGTTTGCAATTAAATTACTTAAAATTCTACGGTGCTCGTATTTCACAATCAGAGAATTCTACTTTGTTTAGAGGTGGAAGCCGCATTGTTTGACAGTTTCTCTTTTTCCAGTGATCAGTTCAGCAACTTGGAAATTTGGTTCCCAGTCTCCGTTTCCGCCTCTGAGCGCCCAAGGCCACGCTGCCGTCTGAGAACGGGCTTTTTACACGCGTGGCTGCGTGGCTGCGGGGCTGGGGCGCTCACAGGTCCCCGCCATCAGTGGGTCCCAGCACACTGAGACCACAAGTCCAGTCGGTCACCAGGTCTGTGGAGGCCAAGGGTCCTTTGGAGGCGGGGCTCTTGAAGGGGTCCGGGGGGCCGGCAGGCAGCGGCGGCAGCTGGGGGCCGCGGGCCGGCGCCTTGGCCCCCGCCGCGTGGTTGCGCTGGTGCTTGCGGAGGTGATCCTTGCGGATGAAGCTCTTGCCGCACACGGTGCAGGTGAAGGGCCGCACGCCCGTGTGCGTTCGGTAGTGGTCGATGAGCTTGGAGCGCTCGGTGAAGCGCTTCTCGCACTCGGTGCAGGGGAAGGGCCGCTCTCCCGTGTGCAGCATGCGGTGGCGGATGAGGTGCGCGGGGCGCGTGAAGCAGCGGCCGCACTCCCCGCACCGCAGGGCGCTGCCGTCCCGCGTGCTGCCACCCGCCGCCCCTGCCCCGGGGCCCGCGCCGTCGGGCAGCCCGCAGCTGCGCTGGTGCGCGCTCAGGCTGACCTGCAGCTGGAAGCTCTTCCCGCACGTGGCGCAGGTGAAGGGGCGGCCCCCCGAGGACCCTGCCGGGTGCTTCTTCAGCCCCGGCTTGTGGCCAAAGCCTTTGGTCCGGCCAGGGTATTTACAGGGATCGTTGAAGGGCCTTGCGGCCTGGCTGGGGTCCAGGACAGCCTCGCCGTTGTCTGGGGAGGAATAGGGGAGCCCCTCAGGCCCAGTCCTTGGGTTTAGGCCCACTGGCGGTTTACACCGAAAATTCCAGCCCCACCGGACCCCGCCGAAGAGCCATTCCCCGGGAGGGGTCTCCTCCTGGGCCACGGCAGGGCTGAGCTCACCCATGTCCCTCTCAGGCCGGGCGGGCTCTCGCAGCCCCAGCACAGGGTCCTGGCTGGGGAAGGAACTGCCCTGGCTCTCCCAGGCGCCTTCCTGGACAGGACTAGGGAAAAACCGTGTGGCTTGGCCTGGTCCAAACAGGGTCCCGTGAGCCTCTAGGTCAGTAGGATGCACGGGTGTGGCCACCACCTCCTCTTCCTGGACTTCTGTTTTTATCACAATTTTTACATCTGCTGAGAAAGACAGAAAGACGGAGATCATTCTGTTTCTCACCTGCGAGAGAGCTGCCAATCTGCTACTCTCATCTGGCCGCTCCACAGCTGCTTAGGCCCCTTAGCATCCCTGCCAACCCTGCGCCCCGGGCAGCTGAGCAGAGCATCCCCCTACTGGTGTTCTGGCACCTTGGTCCAGGAAAAGCACCAATCATACCCGCTCCCCAAGTGACTTTTACTTTGGCTGTTAAGGCTAACCATGAAGGTACCTGAGGAAGGGAATTCTGACCGCTGGTGGCTTGTGCCCAAGGTGCAAAGCGGGGCCTTGGGGTTAGCTGGACCTGGGAGTGCCACAGCTCTGCCACACACCAACTGTGGGAATGTGGTATCTTAACTTATTTAAAGGAGGAATCTTAGTGCAATTTTAGGGGTGCTAAAATCACAGAAATTACTTAAGGTAACAGATGACTGGCCTTCAAAACTAAGTAAACAGAAAACTAACAGATAAATGTGGTAGTTGTTCTTCTGAATTTTGGCCTTCAGACACCTGTCTCTGGAAGGACCAGCATCTAAGAAGTGGTTCTGGTTCGATTTTGTTTTCTTCCATGCCGGAGAGGCCATGGGTTGCTTGAGTCTGGGGAGCAGGTGTATCCTTCAAGACATCAGCATATCAGAATAGACTGGTTAACACTGTTTGCCAAAGGACCGACTGAAACATGGACATCCTCAAGAAAGGCTGTTCAAGCCTAAGACTTGGGAAGGAGATAAAGAACAGGATGGATGAGGAATCGTAAGATCACATGCATCCTAACGCCTGTTGGGTGGAAGGTCAGGGCAGTTCCCCAATAAAAATGGGGCGCCTGGGCTGACGTAACCCCCAGGCAGGCATTGGCCCTCCCCTCGCCCTCACTGCACCCCTGTACCTTCTGTGGAGGCTGCGGTGTTGAGCTTCAGGGTCCCGTCCGAGCATGCTGACGAAGGATGGTGGGGAGGGAGATCCGCCTGCCAGGAGGTGGGTGGGATGGTGGTTGAGAAGTTCGAATGGACGCCTGCAAGGAGGAGAGAGTGGAGTCTGAGGATTAGGGGAGGAAGTGGGGGCGAGGGGGCAGAAGCAGAAGCAAACTATGGGTGAGGGGAGCAGGCGAAGCCCTGAGATCCCCATCAGGGACTTTTCTGAGTGATGATAAGGACTCAGCCTTTCTGAACCCAGTGTCTTTTGCCTCTTCTCTGAAGCGCTGGGAAGCTCAGACCTCACCAACTCATCTCGCACAGCGTCTCCTGAATACGGCAACCACTGGGACTTCAATACCCACTGCTGGGGGCACAAAGAGAAGCCGTGTGGTTGATGAAGGGGGTCACTGGTACCTGGGCCAGAGAAAAGCCCAGGAATAGCATCACTGACCTCAGAGGGGCTGCAAGGTGTCCTTTGGTGCAGCCCATGCCTCAAGGTGGGGAAAACTTCTAAACTAGTCAGACCAGAAGTTTTGAGAGCCCATGGTACCCCACATGTTCCTGGAGCTCTCCCCGTCTCTGCCCACAGGGACAACTCGTTCCTTGTGTCTGATCCCATCTCAGCCACTCACCAGAGGTAGTGTCCGTGGAGATGTCTCCTGCTCCGGAGTCCAGCTGGCTGAGGCCCCAGGGCTCTTCCCCGATATCTGGCTGCCCGGCTGCCCATGCCTCCACGCCCAGAGCCTGCTGCTCCTGCAGCTGGAGCTCACTCTCCTGCTTGATCTGCATTAAGAGGTCAGGGGCAGGGACCGGGGCCCCCGAGCCTAGGAAAGGGAGAGTGTGTGAGCACAGCATCATGGCCTCTGGCCCCAGGAAATGGACATGGGTCTTACAAGGGTCCAACAAACAGCAAAGGAGCCTGGTGGGAAGGGAAAGCAATAGCAAGCCAGGCCTCTGGTGCTTCTGGGCCCGGTGTGAGGTCACATGGCACTGGGTACATGGGCAGGGTAGGGAAGGGTGATGGGGGAGGAGGCATAAACAAGGGCATTCTCAGGGCTAGGCCCCTGGTACACAGGGGAGGCTGCTCTGGGGATGTCCTGCCCTCACCTGAAACACAGAAATGCCAGATAAAATTTAACCCCAAAACCTTATTCCCCCACATGTATTTAAGTGAGCGCAAAAGAAAGATTCCAGATATGAGAATTGAAGAGAAAACACCAGTCCAGTTAAGAGTTATAGTAGAAGGCAAGTGGCCCAGAGAATTGCTGGAAAGGGATACAGGCCTTAGGGGCTGGGCTTTCATGTCCATGTGAGGGTGAGTGGGGCCGAGTGGCCTGCATGAAACCAGGAGCCATAAGGCTGTGTCCAGCCTGTGAGATCGGGACTAGGAAAACTCCATCCACCTAAGGGAGCTACTGGGAAGCCATCTACTTGTCCAGGGCTATGTGTGAGAAAGTACCCCATAAAAAAATCAGAATCACATATCCACACAGAATTCAAACCACCCACAAGGGGCAGAGACCCTAAGCACATTTAGGGCAGAGGAGTGTGAAAAGCCTGGGGTCAGACAGGGTGGGAGGCAACCTTCCACCCCCACCACACACACATGAACCTGGGACCTCAAGGGCAGTATTTCCAGTGGACTAAACTTACAATAAAAATTCACAGAAAAAGCAGCTGATGGCCATGGCAACTCAGGAGGCCCCAGCACAGGCAAATGCAAATCTGCCCCAGAGGGGCACAAGGGGCTCCCTTACAAACTAAAACCAGAAAAAACCCTAAAACTTACAAACCAGAAGAGCCAAATGGGCACGACAGTCATGGAAGATTTCACTGTCATGAACTACAGAAAAAAAGGACAGACTGAATGATACAGTAACATAAGTATGTCTAAAATCATCAAAGAAATAAATGAAGGAACAGAATCTCTAAGGCAAGAACAGAAAATTATTTTTTAAAAGTCAGATTTGAGAAAGAACTAAATAGATATTCTGGAAATAACAAAAGCAATTGTAGAAATGAAAAACTCAATGGATGGCTTAACAATAGACTGGACATAGCTGAAGAGAAGATCAGTGACTTGGAAAATGGATCTGGGAAAATAACCCAGAGTACAGCACAGAAAGATAAAGAAAGGAACACTATGAAAAAGTTAAGAGACATGGAGGATAGAATGAAAAGTTCTAAGATATGCTGGTAGAAATCCCAGAAGGAGAGAATAAAGAGATGAGTAAATGGCAATAGGTAAAGAAATAATGGCTGAGAATTTTTCCAAAATTGGAGGCATTATGAGCCCATAGTTTGAAGCAACACATCAATTTCCAAATAAGAAATAAAAATAAAAAAATAAACAAATGAACTTTGACAACATTCATGTGAGATGGAACAGCAAAGACAAAGAGGAAAATCTTAAAAGATACCAAAGAGAAAAGAATGACATTCAGATTGAAAGTAGATTCCCTTCAGCAAAAGATAATGGAATATCTTAAAAATGCTGAAAGCAAATATCCGTCATCCCATTTTATGAGAATAGTATAATTTTGATTACACAAACTAGAATATATGAAAAATGTATAAAATAATCTCATTCATGCACAGATATGCAAAGATTCTAAATGAAAGAACTGCAAATCAAGCCCAGCAATGTATTTGCAAAAAAAGAAAGCGATAATATATTAGGAACAAGTTGGGTTTATCCTGAGAACTCAAGGATAACACTAGGAAATATGGTATTATAACTCACAAAGTTAACAGATTAATGGCAAAAACAATATAACCATCCTAACATATAAAAACAGCATTCAACTCTTCTATTTTTGGCATACTGCTGGCTAGATGTGCAGAGAAACAGAGAACTTCTTCTCAGTGTGGAACATCTAAAAATGCTGAGTGAAGTATAGAAATAAAAAATATTTTAAGCATGGATGACCTGCAAATAAAGCAAGGAAAACAAACAGAGGCCAGAAACTGTAAGAAAGCCCAAATCTACAGTGGAGGACGTCTCCTGATCTCCTGATGCCTGGGTTTGAATGGACAGTGCACATTTAGGGCAGAGGAGTGTGAAAAGCCTGGGGTCAGACAGGGTGGGAGGGAACCTTCCACCCCCACCACACACACATGAACCTGGGACCTCAAGGGCAATATTCCCAGTGGACTAAACTTACAGTAAAAATCAAAACTCAAACCTGCCCCACAGAAGGAGACTGCCTGTTCTGCCTGAGGCGGGAGAAGACTCTCCCCTGGAAGCTGACACCCACAGGCCAGCACAGGAGGGTGTCTGCTGCTGGGCCTCATAGCGTCACTGAGGCCCGAAAACCCCCAGATAAAGGTAGTTGTGGCCCTGGGTCTGCGCTGGCACCAGATGACCAGCAGAGGCAAACACACACGTTCCCAGGAGGAAGGCCTTTTAAACACAACTTTCAAATAATTAGTGAGCTGACAATTACACGTCACCACCTCAGTAAGAAAACCAGCCACCTCGAACTCAGTAGAAATCACGACCTGGAGAATGGACCTGCAGACTTTGGATACTGGAAATATCATACAGAGAATATAAAGTTTAATATATTTAGAGAAATAAAAAGAGGTAGTGAAAGTATGGGAAACAAGAGACTATCAAAACAGACCAATCAAATTTTGAAAAAGAATCAAATGTAACTTTAGAATGTAAAGACAAAATAATTGAAATTTAAAAATCCAGTCTATAGGTTAAACAACAGAATGACAATGATTGAATAGAGAATGGTAAACTAACTAGAAGACAGATCAGAAGAAATTATTCCAACCTCAGCAGCACAGAGATCAAGTGAAAATGTAAAGCTATAAGGAGGGGTTCAAAGTTATGAAGGCTAACATGAAAAAGTTCCAGAATAAAAGGGCAGCCTGAAAGGGGACAAGGCAATATTCAAAGAGAGAATACCACAAGTTTTCCCAAATTGGTGAAATGTATTCATTGACTGAAGCAGGATAAACAGAAAGAAATCCACACCTAGACACACTGTTGTAAATCTGCATATCACCAAAGAAAGAGACCTAAAGCAGACAGAGAAAAAAGGCAGATTATCCCCAATGATTAGGCGGGCACGGTGGCTCACACCTGTAATCCTAGTACTCTGGGAGGCCAAGGTGGGAGGATTGCTTGAGGTCAGGAGTTCAAGACCAGCCTGAGCAAGAGTGAGACCCCTACTAAAAAAAATAGAAAAAATTAACTAGGCGTGGTGGCGCACATCCCAGCTACTCGGGAGGCTGAGAGACAGGAGGATCCCATGAGCCCAGGGGTGTGAGGTTGCAGTGAGCTGTAATGATGCCACCGCACTCTAGCCAGGGCAATAGGGCGAGACCCTGTCTCAAAAAAAGAAAAATCATTAAACTGATGGCTGACTTTCCAATAGCAATAGAAGCTAGAAAAAAGCACTAAGAGAAAATAACAATCAAACTAGAATTATGTCTTTCCAGTAAAGTTGTTCCTCGGTATCCATGGGTAATTGGTTCTGGGACTCCCTGTGGATACCAAAGTCCACGATGCTCAAGTCCCTTATATAAATTGGTGTAGTATTTGCATATAACCTACGAGTATTCTCCCGTATACTTTAAATCATCTCTAGATTATTTCTAATATCTAATGCAATGTAAATTCGACTAATATGTAGATAATATTGTTCAGGGAATAATTACAAGAAAAACGTCTCTACATGTTTAGCACATACACTTTTTCTCCCCCTCAAATGTTTTCAATCAGCAGTTGAATCCACGAATATGGAACCCACAGATACAGAGGGTGTACTGTATAGGGATGGAATAAAGATTTTTTTTTTTTTTTCTGAGACAGAGTCTCACTTTGTTGCCCGGGCTAGATTGAGTGCCATGGTATCAGCCTAGCTCACAGCAACCTCACACTCCTGGGCTCAAGCGATCCTACTGCCTCAGCCTCCTAAGTAGCTGGGACTACAGGCATG